GCACCAACAGCTTCCCTGCCTCTCCCTTAGCATAGGGGAGGGAAAGGGAGAGAGTGGGACGGAAGGATGGAAGTGAGCAGCTGAGGTACTACGCTTCTTCACTAAGCCAAGGGAAGCATGTTGAAGGGTATGGCATAGCAGACATCATCTGCTCTCCTTCCTGTCATATTTTGAAAAGGAGGTAGAAATCCAGGGGTACTGAGGAGCATTGGTTCCCCTGTGCGCAGTGGAAATGGAGCAAGGTTTAATGCCAAGTGCTGCTTCCGTTCTCTGCGGTGGTTCTGGTCAGCTCACCCTGGCTGGTTCCTAGCAGAGCCCCTTCATGTTAGTGGGGAGTTCCAAATATCATTCTGCTGTCATTTGTGAGAGTAAACCTTGATCAGCTCTTAGGAAAAATAAATGATACAGAAGGCCTAATCAGAGAGATCCTGGTCCTGGGATCCCAAATTGACAGGGATATTTGCCTCTGGAGCTCGGCTCCAGAGCGATGGCATTTCAGACACTGGCAAGTAGCTTAACATTTCCATCCTAGTGGATGTAGGATTTTGTGTTAAGTTTCCCTCCTCTCTATGTGAGTACAGTGTGCCTAGGAGCTAACAGTTCAGGCATTACCCATGGGACCCATGTTGTTTGCTGATCCTACCCTTTGAGCTTATTTCCCTTGATAGTTCTGCATGCAAACGTGCACTTCTTGTAGGTATCACATTGGTTATTTTTCTTCAACATTTTCTTTAAATGTAAAGGCATTTTTTTTGTCAAATTATAATAAACACTCTTGCTGCGGGGTCAGTGTATTCATAGCACTGTGTAATTTCACAGAACACTGTCCATCTTCTCTTAGTATTTCATTTACTATAAGCAAGTAGAAACTTGTGTTGGCCTTTGTGTTGCTTTTGATTTGTTCTTAAAGGAGAGAGGACAGTTACCTAGTTAAACTCAGCAGGGTCTGAGGAACAGACTGGAAATTTAAAAGGGAAAGCTGAATACAAGCACTGCTGATGAATCAGTCATGTCCCAACACTGAAGCTGACTGCTGTGAAAGCATTCCTTTTTTTATCAGAAACCTGCTCCCAGTAGGAGCACTTCACCCCCCTCCTTTGCACCCTGCTGCTAGGTTATTGAGTCTCTAGCTGAGGCTACTGGTAAGTACACACTAGGAAATGGATAGATCTGTGTGTCTTACATTTAGCCTTGAAAATCCATCCCACACATGCTAACAACTCACTTTTTTCCTGGACCTCAGCAGGTGCCAGCCGCTGCATTCACCGTTCATTCAGTACCCCCACATATATTCACATTTGGGGCAGTCTTTCACGGGCTCCATGGCTGATGATCCTTCTCTCGACTTTAGTGTTTGGAAGCACTAGAGCTGCGTTTGTTGGGTAAGAAAGCATTTCTGCTCTTTCAAAAAAAAAGGAAAACTTTCAGGTCAACATAACTCCTATGACAAAGTGAGACAAATAAGGAGAACATCTAATCATTTGACTGCTTCATCATGAAAACAGTGAGGATGGCTCCCTGCTCCTCCAGAAACTGTGGAATACACCACTCAAGGAGATGCTCAAGGTGTATTGTCAAACTGAAAGACCATGCTAGATTGCAGCCCCTGTTCAGTCCTTGCAAGGAGGCCAAGTCTGTGGTTCTGTCCTTACGAAGAGTTCTCAAGAAAAGGCAAGACTGTTGGGTCACATTTCTAAGAGCAGAAGCTGGCAACTAGATGACACATCCCTTCCGTCCTTCAACCCACCTTCCTCTCATCTCAGTTCTAGCCTAGGTGCTCGCTCTTTACCACAACTGACTGGCTTTTATGTCTCCATCATATGGCTGTGCAGTAATAGCATGAACACATACAAGAATTCACAAAATTAAAGTCTAGAAGCCTTTAGCAGCCTTACGTACCATCTTTTTTAATTTTTCTTTTTAATTTTTTTTTTTTTTTTTAATGGAAGGTGCCTGGAAAATTGAGTGGCCTTAATGGAGCAAGGTCAGATCCGTATCACTTTCACTGAAGTTTTGATTTCGTTCTGTGTTACCCTCTTCACTTCTGGGATGGCTCTGTCTTTTGAATTGTTTTATGACTAGCATAAATGTATATTCTTTCCTTTGTGCTAAATGACTACAAGTATAATAGAAACAGTTTCCATATTTACATTTTAATTTTGTGTTATTTGTTAAGGTGACTGCACCAAAATCTGTGTGTTTAAGCTTCTTGCCACCCTTATCAAAGGATTACCATTTGGAATGGGAAATTTTTTTTCCATATGAAACTGAAGTTCAATCAATAGCTTCAGTAGGTTTAAGGTTATAATAAGTAAATTGCTAATAGGCTAAACATAGTCTCTGGTGCCACTGTCATTAGAATGGCCTCAGCCTTTTCAGACTGCTACTAAATGTTTTGAAGAGCAAGTGTGTGTATATTTAGTAATAGATATGCCTCCTCAGTTCAACTGATCATTAAGGTAAGAAGGCGTGACCCTCTCTGCAGTCTGGGGATGACAAATGGCACTCAGAGAGATAGTGGGATGCACGTCCACTTGGACAGGCCAGCCTGCCTTGCACAAATGCTCTTGATTTATTGGCAAAATAGCACAACGCTCATTTGTTTTTTGTCCCAAGACAGACACTGTTATGTCAGGCGACACTCAGAAATCTACTGATACACTGCATCCCTCTTCGGAGTTTCTAAGGCATCTGCCATCTTACCCAACAACCCTTATTCCCTAATATATAGCGTTTCTCACTCTTAAACATTTCACAAGTTAGATCAGTTTCATTATCCCTGCATGACTAACTAAGGCAAGGGGAGAAGAGGTGTTTTGACTCATCCAGGATCAAGTTGAAGACCATGACCAAGCAGCAGCTGGAATCTAGCATTTGGTCTACTGGGAATTTCCTTTCAGATGAGCAGCTTTTAGCATCACCTGCCAACCTTGACTCCTGGCCTTGATCTGGGAGAAATGATTTCCTAAGAAAAGCCTCCTGTAATTTCCCATTATGCCCCACAATGGGCACCTGAGCTACTCCAAAAAAAAACCAGAAAAAGCTGGGTAAACCCTGTGGGCCCCGCACAGCAATTTGGCTGCCACAAAGCCAGTGTATCGATCATTATGTGCAGACAGCATGGAGCCTGAGCTGGGAAACGCTGCCAGCCCCTGGCATGCTCAGCCTGGGGCTAGCCCAGGTGGCCCTGGGGTGCAGCTAGCCACCACGCAGACAGCCCACGTGTGGGTAAGTGCTCGACCTTGGCCTCTGAGGATGGCAGCGACTGTGAGCGGCATCTGCCTTCCCAGCTCGCCGGGCTGCTGCACCTCGGACACCGTGGCAGGCACGGCCAGGCGGGCAGGAGGCTTTTGTTAGGCAAAGCAGTTTGTTACGACAGGACGTGGCTGCAGTGGTGTTCTACGAGCAGTGCCCAGTGAGCATACATGGGAGTTTCTCTGCGGTTCTCGTTGCTCCCTTCTCATACCACGTGTAACTTCCATACATAACTGGTTTTCAGCAGTGCTTTAGAAGAGCTCTCTAGTGCCCTTTCAGCCAGTCAGTGCTCTAGACCACAGAGTGAGCAATTCCTTCTTTGACACTCAAGTCTGGTGTTTCACTAACACTGATGAATATGTCGAAACCCTCTAAGCAATCATCTGAACACCCACAAAACCTGTGACTTGATGATATCACACTTTTTCCTCCTTCAACCTACCTTTGCAATTGTTTCTTACAGAAATGTCTACTTTTTTTTTTTTTTTTTTTAAATCATTTAGCAATCTGGCAAGTATGTACTGAGTTATTTTAAGCATCTTTAAGGATAAATCATTATCTTAAGTCAGCCTAAGACTAGAGTCTGTGGATCACCTGGTCTATTATAATATGTGATGCTGAATATCCTTCCATCATTACGAGTGAAGTGTGCTTGGTATACCCTGCCTAGCTACACAGATGACCTCAGCCACTGTAGTACATGACTCATCACATCCAAGTAAAGTGGGATGGGATGTTCTTCCCACAGTGCAGGTAGGAACAGCAGATAAACTGAGACACAGGCAAGTCAAGTTTCTTGCCAGAATCACACAAAAAGCTTCTTACGAAACTGAGGTTCAGACACTGGTTTCTCAGATCTCAAGCAAATACCCTGAACAAGGGAGAGACCTCACAGAATTAGACTCACAGTCTCATATTTCTGAAGACTCTCTTTATTCCATGCTGCTAAAGAAAATGATGGTTGGCATGAGGCTTCATACTGTGACTATCCTTCCTTCGACACTCAGCAGTTTGCTAGACATGATTTGCATGAGGTTTACCCTAACAAATACCCTTGCTGAGAATATATGTAGATGTTGAGTAGTGGTATGTGAGATTGGAAAAAAAACAGAATTCAGGCTTAGCCCTGGGTCTTGGGGACTTGAAACAGCTGAACCACAACTGCCATTGTCTCACTACTAGAAATAGAATGCCTTATGAGGAAATGAGAAGTTGAATGTGACTGCTAGCACCAAAACAACTCTGGGAGGTACAGCAGTTGTTTGAAAGGGATGGTGTGTAAAGGCTCTCTCATTTATGGAAATGCTGTTTTCCTCAGGGGAGATGTGATCTGACGGCCTCTGTCTCTTTAACAGTGTTCTGGACTGTTGGTCTAGGGTGGTTGTTTTCTTCCTCTGTGGAGTGGGAGGTGATACAGGAGCAACTCTTCATCTTGAAAGGCTTTGTAATTATTCATTTTTTGAGGAAGGAATCAGCATCTGGAAACAGGCAAGTATAACATGAAACATGGCCATGTAACTAAATTGACAGTGGCCACCCAGATCTGGGTGCAAAGTGAATGGTTCCATAGTGATACTTCAAATTCATAGACCAATGGAAAATGTTACTTCTCGAAGTACCTGCAGAGGAAAAGGCCCACAGTCATTCTGTTACAGACACTTGCTGTACCGAGGCAGTAAATTCTGCTGTGCCTTGCAGTCATATGTGCTGTGAAGGCTTTCTTTATTCACATGGTCAATAGAGACATGGGAGAAATTGTCAACAACTTTGGAGGCTTCTACAGAGAGCTCACCAGTGACAGGCAACTCTGCTGGGTAAGACTGGGGGCGCTGTTGTAAAAAGGATAGTAACAAACATTTAAGCTGTGCATTTTCACAAAATATTTCCATTATTATTCTTGGAAATAGGGAACAACATGATTGGTGTTAAGGCAAGCCAGTGTGGAGAGTTCCAGGTGGGTATTTGGTGCAAGTCACATATTTCAGCATCTAGTTCTTTTGTATTTTTTAACCATTATAGATTCCTCCTTTTTTGCAGTACCGGTGACTTTTCCTCTTGCTGTGTTACCAACAATGTTGTCTTTTAATCTCTGGCAAACAAAATATCACTTAACAGAAACAGACATCGGTGAGTATCAAACCACTGTGGATGACACTGGTGGATGTACATTTGTTTGCTCAACAGATTGCACCAGAGAAGGGTGCTGTGAACTTGGCCATAGCTGCACTCTTGAATGCTCTGTGAGCCAAGCAAGAGGGAAAGGTGATGCTCATGGGATCTCAATATAAGAATGCTCAGTAATTCAGAGATTGACTGCTCCTGGTTGCCCTCATTTGCACATCTGGTCTTGATTTTGCAGTAATTTATACATATATTTAGCTTTAAAATATCAAATAAAGTACAGGCATCACCAAGTTCTTGGAGATTGCACACGTTTAATTTTTGCAGGATGGAAAATTGTAGCAACTGCACGCTGCTTAGTGGTGAAATTGGACAGAACATTTCAGAGTAATTTTGTTGGAGCTCTGGCATTTCTGAAAGAAAATATTTTTGCCTAGACCTATTTATCAGGTGTTTTTCTGTACGCCCTTCTCTTGACTTCATCTTTCTTGGAGATGTTAATATTTTAGCCACTTCCCTACTGAATATGCTGTTGATCTGGGAGCCAAATCTCATATACCTAGCATGTTACTGGATAATAAAAATAACTTATTTAGGCAGTGATGTGAGCAGCCAGAAAGGCAGCCTAGTTAGAAGGGGAAATCACTGAACAAAAGATATTATCTGCTCAAAAATACTGACAGAAAAAGAGCTGCCAGCCTGGAACTGCAAGCCCGGAGACTAGGCATGTGAACCATTAAGAAACATCCTTGAAAATTGCATCTGGCTTCTTTGAAGTGCAGGTGGGGTACCTAGAAAACAGAGATATCCACAGATACCACTGATAAGCACGAAACAAGGGACTGTAAGGGCAGTTTATCATGTAAGAAGGTGGAAAGCAGCCTGAAAAAATGAAATTGCTGTGAAAGAACAGAAAACAGTATCATCTATTGGCTGTTACAGGTGAAAAATAGAAATTAACAGCAACTAATGGCTTCTCAATGTCCTACTCCCTCTTACGTCTCTGTGATATAAAAAGGACTTAATTTTTATCCAAAATGGAGCCTCTCTCACTCTGAGAACTTCCTGGTTGAATCCCACACCAACTTTCTTTGAGCTCTTGGGCTCTCCCCAGGGATGCCTCGCTGATACTAGAGTCTGTGATGCAGATCATTTTGGAAGTGGGACTCTGCCTGCAGTGTTATTGGCTCAGACTGTCCTCCCCTCTTTCAGGGATGGTTAGTCCCCCTCTGGGATGTGTTCCCCTCTTTTAGGATGTCTTGGCCCCTTCTGAAAGCTGTCTAATTCACTTCATATTGATATTATATATATTCATACAAGTGATCTATCATAAATATATCTGCTGTTATATTGTTAATAAGTTTGCTTCATTAATGATAAACTGTAGTAATCTGTAATAGTATATAGCTAGTTGGCTGTTGCTCTTATTGGTTGTGCTACAATACTGATTGATGCTATCATTGACTGATATACTATTGACTGATACCATATTATTGATTGCTGATAGTAATTTGTAATAGCCTATGTACATATTCATATATATAAAATATATGAATATATATTCATTCATATTCATTTTATTAATCACTGGTATGCACACAGGGATACTCACAAACATCAAAAGTTTGATAATTGCTGGTTTCTTCTAGAACTTCTGGTTGCCTTGGCTTTGAGGGATACTCTGACACTGTCAGCAGCAGAGGGCCTTTAGCTTCCTTCATAAAACAGCATCCTTATTGCCAGAGAGAGTTGCATGTGCTTGGCTTTCTGTGAAATATTATGAAAGCTCTGAACAGTTTATTGATGTCAGATTTAGTTAATACAGCTGGGATTTATCTTCTGGGAAATATACACCTTGCTATATCTAGAAATAGTGTTGCCGAGTCATAGGATGTTCATACTTGTATTAGAAAAATATATCATATATTACAGTTAGCTGGGTTGATGAGTTTGGTTCAGCTGGATGTTACTAATTTATCTGATCTCATTTTCTGATGGTTTTCTGCTACCTCCCAGAAAGAAACAAAAAGCTTATTCTTATTCTGAAAATGTGTAAATTAATATTATTCTAGACTAAGTGTGGTAGAGTTATCTGGAGAAGTATAATTGATGTAACCTTGCTTACAGTTATGCAGATAGGCCTTGAGAGAGGGCTGGACAACACATAGTAAACACTTGTATTGAGTGTTATTCTTCTGTGTTTTATGTTTTGAAGCGATGGACTAGTTCTTGTCTAACTCCTCCAGGTCAATAATATAGTCAGTGATGACTTTGCTTATGTATATCCCTCAGACACCCCCCTTCTACTACTGCATAATGCTGCATTGCAGGAAAACAGTAATGGTATGGTAAAGCTGAGGGCTAATCACAAATGAAGATAAACGTCTTTCCACTGATTTATGAGAAAAACATTGTTGTTTCATTTTCAGAGTAGGATGAAGTTTACTCACAAGGGAAGAGAAGTAATAAGGAAGTTCTTTCTGTAAGACAGTGTTGTTGAAATTGTAAATTCTGGTTTATGGCCTCCAGTTTACTGCTGCATTAATCATTCAGAAGTAATCTATATGTTGTTCCAAATATGCATCTAGATTCAAAGTAAAGGTGGGTGCAGATCTGCAAGATAATATTTTCAGATTCAGATTTATATGAGAAATGATTAGCCCAGACAAAATAATGGTGAATATCATTTTCTGCTACTATACTATGTTATTTTTCTATTTAAAAACATTAGATGAAATATCTCTTATTATATACATTTCTTGAAAAATACTTTTTTCTTCCTTCTTCAAGTCCCGAATAATGATGACAATAAATGTTGATCTATATCAAGAGAGAGCAGTATTGTACATCACCAAAGTAGACGTATTACTAAGAATTTTATCCTGTATTTCTGTGCCAGATCTTCCATTCAAGTCTGCAGAAGAACCCCACTTCCAGAATTATCTTCTGGAAGATTTAAAGTTCCTTTTATATCTGGGGAGGCTTCCAGAGGAAAGCCTGTTAGTATTTTTTCACCAATGTTTGGTCAAAAACAAAATGGAAAAGAAGTTTCTCAAACTAAAATATTTGAATTAAAAGGAATAATTAGATGGAAATCACACATTTTGATTTGGAAATGTTACTCTGTTGACTGCTATGGGCTGGATTCTTTGCCCCATGTGTTCCCTGACATGCCACAGCTGCTGACCTACTTTGGGTGCTGCAGTGCAGCATAGTTTTCATGGGATGCCATATATCATAAAATGCTGAACGGGGAACTCTGTGAATACAGGATGGCAAGGACCCGAAGAGCCTGAAGAGAAACTGTGGTGTCATTTTCAGATGTTTCACTTTTTGAAGGGAGAAAAATTCTCCCTTGTGTGGGAGAGAAGAGCTGCTTGAGAAACTCATCTTATTTAAAGGACTGCTTTTTTTTTTTTTTTGCAAGAAGCTTTTATGCTGAAAATTTCAGGCAGCCATGTCCATGTTTTAGGGTGCATATGAGTATATGCTGCCAAGATATACTCATTCCCACAGAATACTCTGCTCTATTTCATACAGCTCCTGATCTGCTTGGTTCAAAAATAGTCTGGATATTGCTATAGTCATTGCAACTCAGTGTAAGTGTGGCCAAAAGTACAATACAGACAGAATAGTAATTCCAGTTTTTCATTTCCTTTCTATTTCCTGAATTTCTACTTCATGTCAGTTTTGCAGCTCTCTTTATGAGAGTTTGACAGAAAAAAAAGTCAATAGAATTCTTCAGTGTATTTGATTCTTATTTTCCTTATCCCCAGATGCTGGATGCAAACCAACAATGGGAAATAAAGGAGCAATAGAGTGGATCACTAAACCAGTCGAGTTTAAACCCTCATGGATTAAGGAGCCAGCTTTTCCAGATGAGGATATGTATGTCCAGATGGGATATGCCACCATTTCAAAGGTTGGAGAGCTAATTTTTTTATTTCAGTAATAATACAGTGACTCCAATCAGTACTGCAGTGTAATATTGATACTATTCCTTCACCTATTCCAAGTTCAGGTTGAACTAGTTATTCAGAGTACTGTTAAATGTATTTGCTACAGGACATTGACACACATTCTGCACCTCTATTTCTTTAAGTTTAAAGAAATAGTTTGTTTCTTAAATAAACATGTAAAAGGACAGTAATGCCTGCCTGAGGAAGGCAGCCAACATTTAGTATGAAATGTGAATGGACTTTTTTTTTTAAATGTGTAGTTTCCAGTAAAATAGAGAGTTCAGTCCAGAACTTGTGCTCCCAACACACTATACTTAGCAGCACTGTTGAAATCCCAGATGTACAGTATGCACATTTCTTTACTGCTTCACACACCCTGCTATATAATTCTTTACATTGCTTGTAGAGCAGAGAAAGCAGGAAAAAAAAAATCAATAAAAACTTTTATAACATGTGTTACATTTTCTATAAAATGTGTAGAAAACAGTATGCTGAATCAACTGTTATTCCATCCTTTATGCTACTGAGTAACTCTGTTGGGAATTAAAAAACAGAAGCAAATCTTGAATGTTTGTTATTTCCTTACAGGCCTTAGCACCACTAGGAATTTGTGTGGCAACCAGAGGACATGCTAGTATATGTATAAATGCTTTCGGCTTTTTCCTATTTACTGCTTGTTTAATGCAACTACTGCATGACCTTAGGAGCTGGTGCCAAAACTCCTTTGCATTTCTCACTAAAGTTAAATACTACAGCTAAAAATTACTTGGTATCTATTTCAGATATTCCCTACTAAATTTGCTTCCCTTCACCTTATCTCCCTGGTTCATTCTTCCCACACACAATTTCTGTGAACAATCTGGAAATAACTGATTTTTAAATTATTATTAGGAGAGTAACTGCTAAAACTTCATATTCTCACATCAGCGAGAAATATGAAAGAATACATCCATCATCGTGATTGCCCATATGAAAGGTAGAGAAACAAGGCACAAAGAGTAAGTCCATGCTGCTCCGTGGAGCACACTGCAGTTCCATGAGACAACTTGGATAACATTTGTGCAGAACAATGTAGGCTGGACAATGTGGTCTGCAGAGAGCTGCAGGGCTGCTGAAATTGGTATCCCCTGTAGCCCAGGGATAATTATCACAGCTCCCATTTTGCTCTGTGGTAAGCAACCAGTATTTTTGCTCAGCACAGCAGCACATGTGTACATGTGACCTTGCAGTGGCTGTATGAAGGAGTGGGTTTTAGAGTGGAGAGGTTCCTGGCTCCTCTTGTACTAATTCTATTTGTGCTGCACTAATTCAGCTGTAAAGATCAAAATCCCAGAAAATCATGTTGTTAGCAAGCTGTAGTTCATCCTCTCGGTGGCATCGGGGGCACTGTCAGGGGTGCAGGGAGGGTTGGGGAACCAGGAACTGATAACACATCTGGCAGGACAGGTCTGGGGGCAGCAGCCAGGGTCAGCTGAGAAGGTTGCTAGACAAGGTCATGGTGAGGAGACAGCTCTGAGGGCAGGGTCTGGCCCAGTGACAGGGACCAGGGTCAGACACAGACCAGTGACTGTCAGACTGTCCGTGGTGATGAAGTCAGGACCAGGTCGAGCTGGCCTGTCAGCCTGCAGTTCGGGAACCAGATCAGTGAGGTCTATGGCTTGTGTTCTGGGTTTGAGTGAGTGGTGGGGTTTTTAGTAGCAGGGGAGAAGGCTACAGTGGTGGCTCCTGGGAGAAGCTTCTCAAAGCTCCCCCAGCTCCAACTCAGACCCACCTCTGCACCAAGGTTGAGCCAATCAGTTTCACCTCTGTGATAATGTATTTAAGAAGGGACCTGGGAAGATGAGCTGGACTTGTGAGGAGGAGTTGCAACATCTCCGTGAACACCAAGGTCAGTGGAGGAACGGAGGAAGAAAGGAGGGAGGAGGTGTGCCGGAGCAGAGACCCCCCTGTATCCTGTGGTGAGACAACAGGGCCACCCCCCCACCCCTCCCCGCCACCCATGGAAGTCTACAGGTGAGCAGACACTGATATATGGTCTGTGAGGGGCCTTGTATGGAAAACCTAAGGTGTCTATGCCTGAAGGAGGCCAGGACCCTGTGGGAAGAAGCAGCCCCCACTGTTGTAGTTCGGCACTGGGAGGATTGCAGCATGCAGAGGGGGGGATGTCTCACTCCAGAGCAGCTCAGGAAGGGCTACATCCCATGGCAGGGACACAAGTTGTAGAAAGTTGGTGTCCCACACTGGAGCAGTGAGGGAAGTGCTGCAGCCCCTGGGAGGGAGTTGGAGAAAAGTTTGTGGAGGACTGTCTCCTGTGAGAGGGGGACCATGTTGGAGCAAGGGAAAGAAGCTCCAGAAGCTCCCCCACCACTGAAGATGGAAGAAGCAGCAGCACTGACTGCACCCCCCATTCCCTGTCCCCTGTGCTGCTGGGGGGAGGAGGTAGAGATATTGGGCGCAGAGCTGAGCCTGGGAAGAATGGAGGGGCAGGGGGAAGGTGTTCTCAAGATTTGGTAATGTTTCTCACTGTCCTGCCCTGTCTGTTAAACGTTGTTGTTGTTTGTGTCTGTAATAAATTTATGTTCTTTTTTTCTTCCCCTAATGAGTCTGCCTTTTGCCTGTGACTGTAATGGGTGATTCATCCCTCCCTGTCCTATCTCAAACCCCAAGTCTTTGCTTATTTTCTCCTTCTCGGCACTGGAGGGGAAGGGGGAAGTGAGCAGCTGCATGGTGCTCAGTTGCCCTCTGAGCTCAGACGACGACAGCTTGGCACAGCTGCAATGCAATGGGAGATGGTCACACCTGGGGTAGCTCAGGCAGGGAGTGGGGGCCATGGTCTGAGCTGAGATGGACTCCAAGGGCAGGCGTGAGGGGGGGTGGCCTCCAGTGAGGCTGGACAGGGCCAGCAAGGCCACTCCTGCCCTCACTGACGGCATCTCCCCCCCAAGAGGGACGTGTCCTCCCATCCAACAGAGATCTGGGCTCGGATGAGACTTGCTGAAGCATGATTTAACTACTGTGGGGTGTAGGGGGTCATTTCAGGGGACACAAAGCCAGGGCATGGACAGTGGGGTAGCCCCGTCCCCAAGCCCTGGGCACCTCCCTGGGGACGGGGACGGGCTGAGGCCAGGCCAGGCCTCAGTGTGTGAGTGGGGCTCAGGATCAGGCCTGGGGAGAGGACACAAGGTCAGACACAGCCCAGGGGGTGTCTTGGCAGGGCCACGACAGAGCAGGGACATGGTCAAGAGGCCAGGCTGGGGTGTTGGTCCACGGCCAGACACATGCACAGCTGTACCCCAGCTGGAAGCAGGCACAAACTAAGGCCCATGGGCAGAGGGTGCAGGCCCCCAGTGAGGCTGGTCAGGGTGAGGTCTGCCAGTGCACTCAGTGCCCTGTCTGTCCTTAAGAGGAATTTGGCTGGTATATATGCAGCTATTTTATAAGGTTGAAACCCTTCCTTTCCCCCCAAGGAAACTCATTGCTAGCACTAGTAGTAAGTCACTGCCATTAGCTGTATTGAAATACTTTTCACATGAAATACTTTTAATGAGTCCAAAGACCAGAACTAATTCTCAGATATACCATAAATAGAGAAGTGTCAATAGACAGGCTGGTACCTTTTAGGATACAAATCTCCAACCTAAAGTAAATTGTTTTTTATTGCACTCATCTTTTTGCCAAGTCTTGACACTAAATTTACAGAGCCAAACAATGTGAATTAACAAATTCTCGGTTCTCTGCAGCAACTGGAGACAACAGTGACTGCATTAGCATAGTTTCTCTGCTGCCAGTTTCTTATGCCAAGCCCTGCTATCAACATATTTCATTGTGCTTCTCGCTGTCAGCTGTTGTCTACCAGTAGATAGGACACTTAATTTGGGGAGTGTTCTATAATAAACGTCTATTAGGATGGGCTTGAAGTATTCATTAGTGTAAGTCTTGCTTTACGAAGTAAAGGCCAGTCCTGAATTCTGTCTTTACTTAAAGGTTTGTATAACCTTTATTCTTCTTTCATCATAGCATCTGAGAACCACGTAAGCATTTAATGTATTTATCCACAGAATTCCCCTAAGAATAAGGGGAGTACTATTATCCCTACCACAAATGTGGGAAATTAATCTGAGGCCTGAACTGACCGAACAGCTTAGCCAACCTCCAGACATAAAATCTGTAGCACAGCTATAAATTGAATCCTGACTCTTACCCAGGTATCTTGTCTACAGGGCCATCTCTTATCTGGCTGGACTGGTCTCCAGAAGAAGAAATCATTTCCTACTGCAGAAACAGTGCTATATTCACTTTAGCTGTCTCAAAATGGGAATAGCTCCTCATTCACATAGGCAAGCACATCCCAAAGCTGTGCAGTCCTTAGGATGTTCAAGTGGGGCTAAGACAGTCCAGTCCCCAGTGTACCCCAAGTCCCTGCCTAGAGACATGGTGGGGTGACCAGAGGGGCGTGAGTTGGCTCCTAATGAAGGCTAAATCCTAAACAGATTTTGAGGCAGCCTGTGAGGCAGTTACCTGGAAGAGCTGCCCAATCAGTTTGTGTGGGCATTACATAATGGTTTCACTACAAACTCAGCTGCCTTTGCGTAGGTTCAGCCCCTTTCCTTGCCCTGGAATGGAAAAGGCATTTTCACTTGGCATTTTCACCTCACTTTCACTTAAGCAGTTCAACATCCAGTTAAGGGGCAGTAATTTCCAAACTCATTCTAGTACGACTATGCCCTTTGGCACACAGTGATAATTTTTCAGTGTGCCTCAGTTCATTGTGTCAGGTGTAAGTGCTCTTAATATTACAAGTATAAGCTTATTATTTTTAATATTGGCAACATCCTTGAACTTCACATCATCCAAATTCTCATGTGATCTCATTTAAATGGAGTAATTAAAATAATTTGGATTTATTGAGACACACAGGAGGGACACTGTACAAATGTTTTTTATATGAGTTGCCAGCAGCTCTTGTAATATGTTAATCTGGGAGACTTCAGGTCTTAACTTTTTATTTTTTCCCTTACACTGCCACAACAGAGTGATATTTAAACAGCTCCTTCTACAAGCTAAGGTCTTGAGTTACCTCCAAATGGACAGCTGCAGGCTGGGAAGTGTGAATGAAAATTTGTCTGTGCTGCTGATGGCCAAAATGTTCCAGAGTAAGGCTCTGCAAAATGCAGCAATGAGAAAGTCTTTCTCGCCCCACCCTCCAAGATAGTCTGATTAGTTTCTTCAGCTGTCATGCTTGTGATTTCTGAGCATAAGCTTGCATGCACTGCTCTAATTTTCTTTATTTCATGTCATGCTGTAGGCTGCACCAAAGGGCTTTGGATGTCTTGGTACTAGGCAGTGTCTTTGTCTAGTATGGACTCTGGAGCCTCTGTGAATTAGTCCAGCACTTGATAATATTTGATTATGTCCCAGTACCTGAAAGTCTTGAAAGCAGGTTGTACAAAATACTCCAGTAGCAATTGACTATGGTAATCATTCTTTTTTTTCTTAAAAAGGATATTGCTACATGGTGGTCGCAGCATAGTCTTGTTACTCTAGAAACTCACCTTCCTGTGGGCTACAAAGCGAAGTTAGAAGTGTGGATTGAACTCCAAGCAGATGAACAGTTTGTGGCTTTGATAAAGGTACTTGAAACCTGGGCTGTATTCCATATTCAGACACTTCACAGATGCCAGTCACTATGGTGGCAAACTTACCAAAACAGACTAATTAACAGATGGCTGATCAGGTAGGTGTTTGTCTCAAGATTCAGACACAGTTCCTTCTTTTCTGACCCCTCATCTACCATGACCAGATAACTATTCTTTCTGGTATTGTAATAGGGCCAATTTTTCAACATATCATGACACATCAGAAATAATGTGGGTTATGAAAGCTTGTCTAAGAAGGTAGAACATAGAGGGAGTTGATACTTGAGCAAAGTGGTAAGGAATTTCTTTGCTATCTCCAAGTTGATTGAATTACCCTTGGAAAGTGGGGAAATTATAAAAGGTTGCATCTGTAGGAGGAACGACAGAAGAGAGGAAACTCTTCAAGGCCAAATGGTGAGGCAGAACGAGTGTGGCAGTCAGCAGGGCAAATGGCAAGGACTCAGAAATGCTGTGGATATGCAGATCTGGTAAGGAACTGACTTCTAATGCCACCTGTACAGCTGGGGGTGCGAGGGACAGGGAGCTGCTGGGACAGCTTATTCATCAGGAAGTAAGTTCAAGAACATCCCCTTCTCAGAGTAGGCCTATGGGTTCCTGTCATAGCTTCCCAAAAGGATCTAACAACGTCCCATATTTTGTCTAAAATACTGCTCTGAATACAGCCTGCAGTCATACCTGTCATCTTTGCAGCAGTGAACAGTCTTCATATTCTGCAAATGAAAATTCCTTAAAATTCCTTGAGTACCTCCTGTTTAAGTCTGTATCTTCAAATTCTTTGAATATTCAGATTTTTTGCTTGAAATCATAGAAGTCTCATACACATTAATTTAAAAAATATGTATTTTCACTTTTATGCACATTAAAGTCTGCTGTGTGAACTCTGCTTTTTACATTTTTCTGATCTTCTGAGCAGCATAAACCTTCTTGGACATCAAGGTACAAGCTTCATTTCAACATCTGCTATCGGTAGTAAATTGTGCTGATAAAGGGGAAGAGTGAAGTTGTATCTAATACCTATACTGAAAAACAGTAGCTCTTCCAGAGCTATACGTATTGGTCCATTTAAGCATGCTCTGTATGCCCACACACCTATGTGAGAATAGACCAGTTGTCATGTTTCCTAAAGGTAATACCTAAAAGGATTTTTTAAATTTTCCTTCTGAGGGAACTATCTCCTCTTTAATTTATGAACGGATGTAAATTATTCCCATTCTAAATTCCTATCTTGGCTGGGTATTGCTGTCCTGGTTAACTTCACTGAGACTGCTAATTCTCACTAGTCAAGCCCTGAGGCCAACATTTTGTTTCGCATCCTCTGGCTACACTTGCTAAAATGCCCTGCAGATTCCACCTCATCTGACATGTTACATAAAGTGATTTCCAGCAAAAGGAACTTAACTTGCTAAGTGTAGGCAGAACTGTTAAGTGAATTTGCAACCTAAACTGTTTTCTTGTACTTTACAGGACTGTAAATACACTCAAGAACTTCTAACTTATAAAAGTATGCACATGGTAAGAAGTTGCTGACAATCTACAACTGGGAGGTATCATTAATACAGATGATACCTGGAATATCCGAACTGGGTGACTTCAAAATATAAGACTAGTAGAGCTGAGATTAAATCTATGAGAAGGAGCATGTGACATGGCTTTCAGGTCTAGTAACAAGAATACTGCTACTCTCTGTGAGTTCAGTAATTTGGAAGAAGGTAGGACCCAAGTGTATTTTAACTACAGGTTGGCTCCTGAGTGACCATTTAATGCAGCCTCAGAAAAAGATAGGGTTGATCCTTCTATGTATCGAGTTCCTCATAAGATCTCAGCTGAAATACCACACAGTCTGATCACTTCTGCTCAAGAAAGATGAACTACAGTCAATACTGAGGAGAACCTTTTTAATAAGCAGTGGCCTGTTTACATTTGATGTACTTACAAAAGGTAATGACATCCTTTTCCTGCAATTTTGTTGTGTTGGGCTAAATGTTAGAAAAAGGGAACAAATTATTGTTTGAGCACATGACATGGTGCTACAAAAAATGTAGTCTGAAGATCGGTGATCAGTATAATGAAGATCAACATAATGAATTTGAAAATAATTTCAATGCAAAATATGCTTTTAAAAGTTACGTTCAGTTTCATTTAAGATGCAGTGGTCCTCTTATGCAGGCCCCTGAATGAATGGAATCAAAGCATAGTGTTTATTAAATTCTTAGAATTATCTCAAATTGTACAATTTTCCGATGGTATTTACCAGTTTACTTTGAAAAATAATTTAAAAATTACTAGGCATTTCTCCATGTGCTCAAATATGTATCGCATATGCTATGTCTGAATATTAACCACAGATCTCTTCACAACTGAATTCCTGAAGAGGCATTTTATAAAGACTGAAGTTACTGCAGAAGTTGCAAGGATAAGGCAAGATGAAAGCTGAATTCTGTTAAGATTAATTAATAAGCTCCAATCCTACAAATACTACTAACTCTAACTTTCACTGCTCCAGGCTGCAAAGTTAGTCCATATGCTTGTGGGATCTGGTTTTAAATGAAGACAGATTATTGCTAGTACTATATGGTAACCTCTGTTCATCCACAGCTCTAATTTATATCAAATTCATCATTTGTGCAGTGCTGGCGAATAAAAAAGAAATGCTGATACAGAGATACTATGCAGAGACTGCATTTCAGACAAAGCTCTATTAAGATCTTTTGCCTTCCTGCTGGTTCATCTGTGAAGACCATGGGAAGCTCGTTTGTTTTTCCTTGCTACATCTCACTCTTCAAGATCCTAAAGTAAAACAGAATTTACCTTTGCTTTCCAACTCTTATTTACTACTAACTATAAACAAGCATACTAAAATTAAATATGCATCACCCCTTCCAGAATACTTTTTTTTAAAAAAAGCTTTATTAAACATATACTCTTTAGAGCATATTTAAAGACTTCTACAACCTTGAAAAAACCCTCTATCACATAAAAGTTCTTATTTTCAGTACTAAATAAAACATGTAAAGAAGTGATACTCACACACAGTAACTGAACGGTAACAGAAGTGGCCACTGGCAACTGAAACAACGTGTAGAAAACCATCTCAGTAACAACTTAAAAGTGGGTTAGCATCTGCATAGTACAGCAGGAATAAATACTCATCTGTTCTGTAAGACTACAGTTTAGTACTGAAGGCAGTTACTGGTCTATTGCCATCCATTTCTTTTTCAGTAATAAAGTATATACCATTTCAAGTATATAAATACCCCATAACTTTAAGTACAGCAAAAGCTAAGTAGCTTAGGTATATTTCCACATTAATAGAAGCTGGTTTATAGCATTAAACAGCCATCTCCATTTTAATAGGTGGATGAGGATTATAGTCTTCAATCTGAAAGTCTTCTGCCTTAAAGTCAGTGATGTCTTCAACCTTACGAAGAATTCTGAGTTTGGGGAAAGGTCTTGGCTCCCTCTGAAGCTGAAATAAAAGCAAGCTGATTGTATAAAGCTAATATGTGAAAGCAGAGAGTTTGTGTTATAAATTAGATTTTATTAATCTCAATTCAGATTACCCTATGTAGATTTTTCCTCCTCCTCAAGAAGACTTATACTCAAAAAAAAAAAAAAAATTGTAATACAGTTCAGTGGAATCTACTTTAGCACTTCGATAGGAAGCAGTAGCATACTTTTCAAGTGGATTCCTCTGAGCATCCAAATGAACTGCAAGCATTTTTAGTTTGCAGAGCAAACTAGTGGTTACAGATTCCTTCCAGAGGAAACTAAATTGGAAATTCTGACCCAGATGTGCATCAAATGTGCTGCAATCTCTCACAGGAACATCTGGGTCTGAACCAATTACTAGTTCTCTGGATGGCTTTGAACCATACAGATGGGAAGGACATTCAGTCTGAGCTAACTCTAGTAAAATAAAATTCTGATTTGCTCCTACTGCAACAAATTACTTTGTGAAGAAAAGATAGCCTTATTCACCCAAATAGTAATGCTGATTAACTCTGTGAATTGGTAAATTATCCTTTTCTGATATACTACAAAGACATCTTATTTTGTGTTTATTTGCATTAGGCAGAATGGGTTTCTAACTTTGTATTGGATAAGCATTGTGGAAGATAAAAGGATACGGGAATACAGAATAAGTACTTACTTGAACTTTTAGAGGTTCCACATGATTCAGATATATGTGAGCATCTCCTAATGTATGTATGAACTCTCCAGGCTGAATAGAAAGGAGAATACACGTGGTTTTCAAATAGTCAGGTTTCAAGAAAGCAAAACATCACAATGCCTACAGTATTGATTCTTAGCATCTTACATCCAGTGTGGAATTGCAACTTGAATGGAGCACTACTGATCTGTTCGCCAAGATGGAAACAGATGGGGGGGCAGTGACATCCAGCTTTTCCACTCCACTTCTAGTAAGCAGGACTTGTCAAAGCTGGTTTTGAGGAAGTTGCCTCAGCCACTACTAAACAATGTAGTTTGTGGCAGAGGAGGCACCAGTCACGGGCTAAACCCCAAAGCATCCAGATGGGTTTCACAAGCTTGCAAATTCTGTGACTTAACAGCCCCTCAGCAATCTAATTTAACTCAGGTGAGTTTTAGCAGCTATTTTACTGGCCTCTGACCAAAGTAGATCAGCCCTTGGATAGATTATGCCGTGAGAGGAAGTGCCTGAGAGGCAACAGCTGCTTTATGGACATAACCTTAAACTTCACTTTTTCTAGTACCTTGGCCTAATTTCTTAAGTAGAACAATTGCTGTGAAGTCCAATTCTTCCCTACTTCCCTATTTTAAGTTCCCTATTTTTCTCCTTCATGTTGCTGGTAGCAGAAGGATCAGGCCCAAATGGCCCTGCTAGTGTAATTTTTCACATGTTCTAAAGAAAAGGGGGTTTCACTTCAACAAGATTATGGTGCATTTAAATTACTCTGACAAATTACAAAATACAACTCTGGAGTCAGGGCAGTAGCTATCTGAGCACATACTACCACTCTACAAAATCATCTACAGTAGGAAATGAAAAAAATATCCAGCTGAAATTGTAGCTGGAAGTTAGGTGGGCAGAATACCCAAATTGGAACCTTGACAGCAACCACTAAGCTACTGTTTGCTGCCAATAAAAAACACATGCTACAAAATTTAATCACTTGTATGTTATTATCCCATAAGGACAAGTGCTCAGTTCAGGTTTCTGAGAAGTAGACAAATGGAACAGGTCAGTTTTGACATGTTCAGTTAAAAAGACCTGGAGAACCTTCTGTCTGTTTGACTTGAATTTAAGAATTCTTACACTGCTGATCCTAACTGCCCATACAGACCAGAGACAATTCACATTAAATTCACGGGGCCCTTTCTTACACATTTTTCAGCAAGATTTTGAACAGTATGTTCATTCCAGTTTTTCCCAGACATGACAGGAAGAGTCTTTTAGCCCTTCACTTCTCAGACAAGATTAAGTAAAATGATTAAATAGCCTACCTTTAGCCCTGTGACATGGGCAATCATGTATGTGAGCAGTGAATAGCTGGCAATATTGAAAGGCACTCCTAGTCCCATATCTCCAGACCTCTGATAGAGTTGGCAAGACAGTTCACCATTTAGAACATAGAATTGGCAAAGGGCATGGCATGGAGGCAAAGCCATCAGAGAAATATCTAGGAATTGCAGTACAGGAAGGAGGGGAAAAACAAAAAAAATCATAATAGCATTAGTGTGTTATAAATGTAAAAAAAAGCAAAATCTGAACAAGTATTTAATGAGATACAGTAGAAAGCAAAAATACAATTGCACTATTATTCTGTTGCTTTTTCTCTTGTTTAAAAGCACCTGCTGCCTAAGCAATTAAGTCTGGGTCATGACAAGCTGTCTCCTGGGCTGTATGACCAGAAAAGTCATAAACAGATATTCCACAGAACAGATTTATGCCATAATGCTGCACAGCAGTTCAGTTTTACTCACCTTGGTGAGACAGTTGATTTCCCTAAAGGAAGACATTAAGAGTAAAATTAAGCATGTACCCTAAAGGGACTTCCAACTGCTTCATCTTACTCTCTTCCCACTGCAACATGCCTTTACTGCTTGTTGAGATAAAAAAGTAATGATCAATAAAAAAATAATCAGAAAACAAAAGATCTTTTGAGTGTTTATCTACACTTACAAATGCAGATAGTGCAATTACAGTTTGGTAAGGAAAATTTTAAACAGTTATCTCCTGTTATCTGAGAATGTTTAACCCTACAAATAACAGCAACAGCATGAGGCATCCCCTTTCAGAGACAAAAGTGGAAAACACTGGGTGGTGATTTTCTTTGTGCACAGACCTACTGTTGCTGAAGTTAAACATTCTCTGGCACTAGCTCTTATTTAGAAATAGCCCTACAGAGTGAATGGATACCTACAAAACCTATGTTCACCGAGATGATTACTATACAAATAATAATTTTGTTGTCTAGTTTTAAGGTTTTTGTTAAGTTTACAATTTATTATAATGGCTAAAAACCAGATAAACCGGTATACTCTTTTTTGGTCTTGTTTTTTTTTTAACCCTTTTAAAATAAGAATTGCTGTCTTTTAACAATGACTGTATGTCAAAGACTGGTAGCCAGGTATGTCCCTCATTTTAGTCTGGAGAGAAAAACTTTGAAGTAATTGTTCAACATTTTTGAGGTCTGAACATGAGAATTAAGTAGAATCAATTTTATAACCCCTAGCCATTTTTACTGCATTCCTGGTAGTTTTTATACAGAATAAACAAAGACATGAAATGGAAGACTGCTGACACAACACTAGAACATAGTTTGGCATACAGCAAGATAATGTGTAACTGCGTTCGCTTAAAGTCTGCTGTTCAATACCTTTGGGATTCCAAGCACACATAATGATTCTTCTGTCATCTGGATTGGTTTTGATTGTTTCAATCACTTTTTGCAACTGATCAACTCCTTGATTGGAGTAATCTGAAGAAAGATATCAAATAAGATCTAAGCCAGATAGATTCAAGTCATGATACATTTTTAAAGCCCAGCCCACATCCCACTGAAAAGTGATACCCAAATGACAACCTCTGAAGACTTTATTATAGCTTTGAAATTGACTGAATTTATCAGTTGGCACCCTCTAAATGGCTATTCTTGGTCTTTGTTAGGGTGCTCTAAGACTTGCAAAATTCTCATGATGGTATTTTCATGTGTCCCTCAATCTCTTTTATGTGCTTTGAGTACCTTTAGCACCCACTGAAATAGGACCATTCCTATCTAAAACACTTTATTCCAGACCTCCACAACTAGACATTTTTTAAGACCAAATAAGAAGTCTGCATAAAACACTACATCCCCGGAAACAGAAGTTGCAATACAAAAAAAATTAACTGGACAAAGCATGTTACTTTCTCATTCGTGATGACTTACTACCTAAATAGGACAAAAGCTGTACTGGAATGGGCAAGATATTACCACCTAGTGATTCATGGTATTTAAAGTAATTTGCTCATTGCATTTCTGGATTAAGATGCCTTTCTACATGTTAAACTTGAATGCTACAGTGCTCCTTCTTAAAAAAAAAACAAAAAACATTATGCCTAGACCAGTAACATGGAGTGCCAGCATTCTTTGCATGCTCAAAATGGAGTTTTTGACAGATGAATAAATGCATCCATTTAGCGCTGACAAGGCTGTGTATGAAAACTAAATTTCCATAGCATTCAGTGCCAGAAGAGAACTTTAATCATGTGTAGCACAGGATATTATATTTCACTGAATGACGCTCACAGGCTGATTTTTAGGCTCAATAACAGTTATATAAGAAATTCACTGGAATTAACTGAACATTAGAATGTATTCCAGAATAAAAGAATCATTAGTTGTTACTCATTGTTCTGACTCATGCCAGTGAATCAGCACAGCTGGTAACTAATTTTTTCTAATAACTCTTATTGCAAAGCAACACCGAATTATGGTCACAGGGAGACCCAAACTGGCAAACAAGGTAGTAATATATAATTACCCTCTCAGGGAATTTTGTGCCAACAATACTATGCCAAAAGCCTTGTCAAATGGTTATGTTAGTTCCTGAACCTGATTACCTATCCATTATAATGCAACTTAAGGAAATCTATTAGTAATGAAACCTATGGGAATTTATCTTGCTCATTTTTTCCAAACTATGTTATGCCTCAGACCTTTTAAGTTCAGGTTTGCTGAAACATTTTATTAAGTTTTTGAATATATCAGTTCACAACTTGCATCATTTGTGTTACCAGAAAACTGTATTCTGCCAGTGGTCAACATGCCAGTACTAAGTCTAATATCTGTAACTAATGTGAACTTTGAGACTGTACTGACAAAAAATAGGAGGAAAAAAAATAACTTACCATGTTGTTAATTTGAGTTAAAAATCACACCAACCAGATAGGGACAATCTTTTTTTTGACTTTTTTTAATGGCAGTCCTCTAAATGTTTTGTGCATCCTCTCCTTCAGTGACTTAGAAAAGTGCCATCAAAACACTTCGGAGAAAGTTTAATGAACCAGTTCCACTGAAAATAATACCAACAGGTACTGCATCACATCATAACTTGTTACAGCTATTCTGTCCACAGCATCATCAGCTATGGATACATCCTACTTTGTTCCAGCTGCAGAATGGGAAAATCTTTCTCTTCCACAGTCTCCAATAAATATAGTGCACTAATGTGTGCTCTTGCCAGCACAAATTTGGACCCTGCACTGGTATTGAGAGGTGGCAGCCTGTGTTCCACTGTTATCCAGTGGAGCTAGCTCGTGTTTCTGGAATGCAACAGACACAAATCCCCCCATCTATCAGTGACCATACCTGCTCTAGATTAAAGTAACATGTATGCCTTGTGATTCATCTGTTCTACAGATATCAAACTATAATATACTGAGCTACATCTTTCAAAATAATTACACTGAGATAAAGGACACAAAAAACAAGGTGAAATTATCCCTCTTAAACACTATTTAGTCTGGCTATCCGTTCACACTGTGAACAGTCCCTTTAATAATAGTCCATTCCACCCAAACTTCTGGAAGTGAGGTGTCAGAGTCATCTCACTAAGCAATCAGGATTATATTTTTATGTGACTACCTGTATGCATATCTTTGTATTCTGCTCCAAAATGCCTCCACTGGAAACCATAAATCGGTCCCAAATCCCCCTCCTCTCTGGTGCTGAAACCCTGCTTATCCAGGAACTCACGTGAGCCATTAGCATCCCAAATCTTCACACCTTTTGCAGAGAGCTCTTTGGCATTTGTAGAACCCTATAAAACACACAGTAAGAAGTCTACCTCCTAATCCCAACACATGACTTGAAACAGCTGTATTAAGGTTTGCTAGTCTACAGTATTTCTCCACTTATAAAGGATGAAGAGTCTGAATAATGTCCTGGATGAGGTTCTTGCATATGGACAGAATAAAACTTATGACCAACGTACGAGGATGAAGTTTGAAATGCCATGCTGCTGTTATTTAACTTAGGATTCTTCTAACTTTGTCAATACACAAACAGTAGAGCCTGAAGGTCAACCGGGGTATATAATTTCATACATACATTTGTAGAGAACAAGATTTTACTTTACAGATAGATAAAAATAGACAAACAAAAAATTTATGGTCTAGGCATCATCTTTGCCAAGCTACCTATAAATGAGCTTAAGGTCTTAAAACCCCTTTTGTTAAAACGACAAAAATGACAAATATGACAAAATGACCCAGAGAAATTTCACTGAGTTCTGCAACACATCCAAATCAGCACACTCAAAAATCCAACATAGAAAGTGTTCTGTTTTGGGGAGTATCTAGTCTTTAATATTTGAAAAAAGATACCTTAAAAAAACCTAATGGGTATCCGAGTCCTGCTATGTAGCAAAACATTAGGTAGACTTTCCCATACCTTCACTATGTCACAACATATAAAGGAACACTTACATCGTAATGTATTATCTACAGTTGAATTTTAATACTCTATCTACAGCTATTAGGCCTACTAGATCTCAGGTTTTTGCTACCAAAAAGCCTAGTATTTATGTCAGTTTTACTTCACCTGTGGCTCTGAACTGCTTGCTTCCGTTCAAATCAATACAAGCTATCTCAATATTAAAGAGCAGGTAACTAAATTGCCTACAAACTACTTCTACGAACAGAAGCACCTGTAGTTACTCCAAATTCCTTAAACCACTCCACACCAGCTTTTTCTGTTGATACCACTCTCTGGCACACCCCCAGGGACATTCAAATATCAAACCTTGATGAACCACAGCAGCTCCTCCAGCACTCCTTTCCAGAATACCCTCTTTGTTGTTAGCAGTGGAAACTGATCTGAAAAAGAGTTTTAGAGTGTCAGAGGTGACCAGCAAATTGACAGAGTGAGCCAATTTAAGTTTTTCTCCACAGAAGAGGGTAATGCCACCATCTGACATTCTGAGGTTTGGATATGAAGTAAGGAGTTGGGAAAGGATATGTAATTCTCATATTCAGACCAAGAAAGACATGAACGTGACTTATTTTCCTGGACAGTGGGGGAAGATGAATTATCTGCGGGGGCCTGGACAAACTCCGCGTTGAGGCTGCCACGGTGCAGTGTACTGATGTATGTGCAGGCATTCGCAACAGAAAGCGGAAGCTTAAGATAAAGTTGTTGGCAAATCTATTTCGCAACCATCCTTCCTACTATGCTTTAACGGTAGAGAGGTCCAGGACACGCTACCTCAAGATCTAATCTGTTTTTTCACCAGCGAACAGCTATGGGGCCAGGCCAGGCCTGGCTGTTGGGCCGAGGGTGAGGAGGGGTCCGAGGTGCCGCAGGCTGCCGGGCAGGGAGAGGACGAAGGAGCTGGCGGGACGGCCCTAAACCCCTCCACAGACCCCTGCGGCTGGTCCGAGCCCCAGCCCTGAGCCGGGAGAGGCCTCGCTCTCAGAGGGCGGGAGCGGAACGGACCCGGGGGAGAAGATGGCGTCCCTCCCTCCAGCCCCGATGCAGGGCGGCTGCCGCTGGAGCCGTAGCGGGCAGGGGTAGCGGGCCGGGGCGGGGGCCGCGGATGCCGGCGGTGCCGACCTCTCAGGCTGTACCGCGCCTGCATGCCGAAGACGGAGATGGTGCCGGTGCCGGTGCGGTCCTCCTTCCGGTGGCCGTGCTGCAGGATGTGCCGGACCTGCCGTAGGTACTGCGGCTCGCCGGGGCCGTCGCCGCTCGGCAGCTCCCCCTCGGCAGGCATGTCGGGCGAGAGGCAGCCGCGCGGTTCCCTGCGGGCCGCGGCGGGCTCCGGCTACCCCCCCTCCCGCCGGCCGCGCGTCCTCCGAGCCCGCCAAAGCCCGGCTTTTCCCGCCGAGCGGCACCGAAGGGCGGGCAAAGCGGAGCGCCGCCACCGCCCCCCACCCTTCCCCTTCCCGCCCCCGCGGCCTTCTCTCCGTCCCCCAGCGCTCCTCAGCGCCGCCGCGGCCCGCCTGCCCCGCGGGGGGGACGGCTGCAGGCTGTACGGAAGGCGGCTGAGGCGAGTGGCCTGTGTCCCTTCCTGTGCTGCCTTTGTCAACTTCCTCGCCTCACGCTGGGAACCCTCCGTGGCCGCCCTCTCTGGTCCCTCACGGGGCTTGTCCCCCCCGACGGAGGGCTGTCCCGGGCACCTAACTGCAGTCTGCTCCAAACCGCACCGATTTTTCCCTCGTTCTGCTCCCACCGTCGTGTCCTCTCGAAATTTTTTAGGTATACTCTCTCTGTTCATCAAAACAAACTGACTCTCCTCAGAGTATTTCATTAGTGTATCTTGGAAGTCAAGCGTTTTGTATGAGTCATCTCTCAGATAAAGCCCAGCGTTCTGACACCTGGCATGATGGCAGGAGTTAGGACTGCTAATCTCACGATTAGGAGCCTCTAATACAGGCATATATAATGGAGGTTGAAGGGAACAGAGGACTATGAATTAGAAAATGCTGCCTTTCCTTACAGCAGGCAGGAAAACATACCTTTCCCACTAATTAAAACAATGAAATGGCCTTTTTCTTCTATAAATGCATATACTTACTTGCAGGTATAGAAGTAAATTAAAAGGTATGGTATAATTAGGGCACAGTTATTTTTCTATATGCATACCAAATATAGATGTTTTTATACACTTTGAAATGAATACAATTTATTTAGCAGAGATACAGTTGGAAATGGTGAATATAACTGCAAAAAATGCTTAGAAATACCAGGCACACCAAATGAAATCACCTACAGCTCTGCTTCTAAGTAATGTATCAGTCCCTAACCTTTATTTTAATGTGCAAATACCACTGAAAGCTAATATGTATAATTTAGGATCAAACAAACATATTTTCTTATACAGGCTTCCTTGTTAATGAATTAAAAAATGAACTCCAGAGGCAAACTACAAGTAAGAAATGCCAAAGGCAGAACACTTAGTCATTACTGCATATTCAGAAAAGTCATTTAATGTATGTGATAAACATCAAAAGCAACTGGATGAAGAAATGGAACATTTTCATTGGAAAATAATATGCTATGTGCATATGGAAATCTGGTTGATTCAGACTTAGCTGAATGTGCAACATCTGTAGGGACCGATCTTGAAAAGGCTTAAGAATGTGCTTGAATTTAAGTATGCAAATAGGAATTATTTGTATGCTTACAGCTGATTATTTCCTTAAATCGTTGCATAACCAAAGCCATAGCTGGTTATCAAAGATTACCTAATTTACAACATAAACAACATTTTATTTAAATAAATTATTATTAAAATGGATTTTAATTTGGTTTTGAGTTAAAATATTTCTACAGTCTTCGGTTGCTATCTCAGATGTCACAATATTTACTAAGCAAAATTTTATTTATATGCAACTATTTTAACTAGTCATTTAACAATTAGCTGTACATTGAGTGATCTTAAGGGTATTTCATCTAAGGAGTACATACTGGATTTCAGGAAGAAAGATTTCACACATCTTTCCTAGGAGAAAAAATAAAAAAATATGGATTAAATATTTTGGTTTTGAACTGAGAAAAGGATGTTAGAAAAATACATATATGTGGAATGTATCAGTACCCTGCTGTAGAAACATACATGACAAAAAACAGACAGAAACAGATTTTTTTTTCTCTTTTTCCCTTCTTATAGATCTTTCTGTTTTCTTGTAGAATTTTAACTCTTTGCTTTCATCACACTTTCACTTACCATAAATCTGTTGTGCAAACCGAACATAAAATGGTATTGTGAATTGGAAATTAATACCACTTAATTAATGCCTCTCTGGTGGAAGTGATTTTTTTTAATCTGTTTAAAAATTGTGAGTTTGACCTCAAAAGCATACTCACAGTCAATATAAAATGCTGAAATTTTATTTCCTTCATCTACTTTGTTAATGTTGAATCCTTTTAATGTGCCTCCTGAGACTTCTGTGTGCATTCAGGTCATGCTTTCTTTGATGAGATGAGGGTATTAGACACCCATACCAAAAGAGGAGCCATATCCAACTCTAGTGCCTTCTTAGAAGATGGGGGGGGGGACACGACACACTGCAGTGATTTGCCTGTAGGTCTTGTGTGCCCTGTGGCTCTTGCCCCCAGGAGAGCCAACTGTGAGAGTCGGAGCCCACTGGAGCTGTGCATCCCAGAGTTTCCTGGGCTTCCCCAGCAGCATGATGCCACCTGAAACTACCCCGTTTTTTCTGGAGATTCTCTGTGGGGTTAGAGAATATTAAGCATTGTTTTCCCCTGTCTCTCAGCCTGGTTCTTCCCTCCACATCTGGAAATCTCTTAAGCATGGAGTGAGGCCTCTGTGAGCACTTCCTACAAAAATGGGTAGAAACTCATGAGAAGGATCTTTCTGTGCACATTCCTACAAGTCAAACTGCAGAGTCTGTTAACACTGTTAATCTGAGCAGACTGCTGGTAATGGGAAAACATTGTGGTAAGACTTCTCTTTCAAGTTCTGGTGCTGATTATAAATTTGCACTCTATCATCAAAAATAATACAGAGCATGTATTATTAAACAGCACAGAAAATAAAAAATGTAATGAAGAGTGGTAATTTCAGTTCATTCGTGATGAATGAACACAAAGACGTGGTTTCCAGTGCCAATGCTCTGGACTGGGGTTGTAAGGCAATTCTGTTCTGAAGGAATATTTATCATCACACTAGCTCGTCCCAGATGTTACTTAAAGATTGAGGGTTTCACAGTTAAGTCAAATCTTTCAATATCATAATGTATTTTGCAGGCTAAAACATTGAGCATTTGGTTTTGTTTTCTATAACATTGGTGTTTGTCTCAATCAGTATGTCATTTCTGATGAGATGGTTTTATATATACCATGACTGAATCCCGTTCCAGCTGAAGTTTATTGCAATGTAAACACATCTTATGAAGAATTACGTTCTCTCTGAAAGGAAAAAGAATGAACTTACCACTTAAAAATTCTGCTTATATAGTTGCAGTGCTTTCCTAGCTACATATTCAATGAATTCAGCACTGTTTGGATCTAAGGTGGGAGGAACTTTAATGGTAAAAGTAGGTGAAGTCAGAACATTTACGTCTACCACAGTTTCATTTTTAACAGAGGGATCCCCGGGTACCACCTAGAAGAGAACGAATCAGTACTTTAGACACTACAAACTACTGCATTCTTTCAATTTTGTTTATACCTACTGTGCCTACTGTGTTTAATAGGGGAACATTAAATAGAGGAATATTGTCTATTTTCTTTAAATTACTTTCTTCTGAAAAGACAGTTAGCGTCTGAATTTATGCCAGAACTTATTGTAAGCGGGGGGAAAAGATGACATGGCACTGCAAGACCATATTAAAGAACTACATGTTAATATTTATACCATGAACTACATCTGTAAAGAGCTGCTGTTCTCCTAATGAAAACTTGTGTGTCATCCCACTAATTTCAAGACAAAATTCATGTGATTGAAGTTATTCGTTCCTGTGTGTTTTTCTAAACCAGACTTAGTTCTGTGGCTTTATTTTTCTAGAGCAGATAGCTTGGACTCGTTTGGGAAAGTGTGCTTAAATGTTTTCTGTCCCCTTGCTCCTGATTTTGTGCTTTTTTGGTGGATTGCACAATCATTTTGTATGAAGTTCTTGTAGTAATAGTAGTACATTGGATTTCTGAGTTGAAGGGAGAATAGGATTTGTCCTTCACCCAGGAAAATTGATTGAATTTACCTTGGAGATATTATTGCGTGTGAGATACAGTTAATCATGATGTATTTATTGGAATATTGACAGATGCTGTTAAAGATATGCAGCTTCCATTTCAATAATCAGCATAACATTTGCCTTCTTTGAGCTTTGGGATATACAGGTACAGGCATAGATCTCTAGCTGGAAATTCAGTGATCCAATAAGGATTTGTTACTGACTGGTACAGTGTAATTTATCTGTGAAGGTAATCTGAGGCCAGTCAAAGCTGCTAGTGTCAATTTACTCTTATCAGACAGTGATTCAGGTTAGCCTGTCAGCCATCCATCAGACTAAAAGGATTTAGAGGAAAATAGTTTCTAATCTTTAGAGTTTCAGCTCATCAAGGGATTATCAAGCATACATAAATTCAAGATGAGTAGGAACTTTGTGTTGTAAAAACCACACACTGCACATGTACGAACATCCACAATCCCCAAGAGCATAAGTATGAGCAAAGCATAGGTCAGAGACCAGTGGAAGTTCCCTTCGGAAGACAACCCTTACCTTAACTATATTGAAAATGTTTTCTGGTCCAATGGTCATATTGGATAACTCAGACACCCACCCAAATCTTTCTTTCATTTTATTCAACAAGTAGGAAGTGTCTTCTGTATGACGCTGGACCACCTGGAGAATCTGCTCATACTGCTCCCCTGAGAGATCAACCAGCTTAAAGGCTTCATCAAACTTTATATGCAGGTCGGGAACGTTTGGACAATCTGTTAGAAAAGACAGCCAGCATGAAGCTTATAGTAAAGTAATATGTCTTGTACTTTGTCTTTTCTCTCTGAAGTATAGGAAATGGTAAAAAAGTCTAACAAGGGGGCATGTTTTGGGTTGCTGTTTAAATAATGCTAAAAAGAAGAGACTAATTCTTGTTGACCTGTATTGGCAAATTTAGTTTAGGCTCATAATGACTAAATGAATTGATTATCCCATTTGCTGTATTACAATGACTTACCAAGTACTTAACGTTTATATCATATTTCATGGCAATAGGTTTTCTTTTATGCTAAATAAGAACTGGTAGATTTTACATATTGCAGCTTCGTAATCTTCTTATACATTATCTGTTTGTTTCAGTTGCTCATCTTCTGTTATCAATCCATCCCAACTATATAGACCACAAGGCAGGGACTGGGGGAGCAAAGTCCCTCCCACTGTAAGAGAAGATCAAGTTCAA